CCAAAACGATCCTACGTGGATTTCGGCTCTTCTGCCAAATTCGCGTTGGCAGCTGGCCGGCCACGTCGCCGGCCCTGCGTGCCCGCGCGCGCTAGTGCGTTTTGCTTCCGCGACGCGCGCTGATGTCAACGGATGGACAAACTGACGTTGCACGGTGGTTTGGCTGTGCCAAACCACCATGGCATGTTTGTTGGTGGCGGATCTTGGGATCTTGTTGCCGCCGTCAGCCTTGCCGCGCCATGCGTGTCCATTGCATCCTAGAGCACGGCCGTGCATCAACCCTGGTTCGGATCGGTGGGGATCCAGCGGCATGTGTGCACATGCGTTGCACCGCTGGTAGTGCCAACGCCCCTTGTGTGAAATTCATTTTTTTCTGGCCCCTAGAAGCTGCGAGCAGGCCATGGCCCAGAAGACCTGGTGCGCAGTCCCTGAGCAGCTGGAGCGCCAACAGCGAGCTCACCAACGCGAATTTGACGACATCGGGAGTGCAGCCCGCCGCGAACTCGAGCACGCGCATGCCGCCTACCGCAGGTGGCAGAGCGGGAACCAGCAGCACCAGCAGGGCGAGGCTGGCGCAGCACTGCGGCAGATGCAGCGCCACCTTGCCACGCAGGCCCAGGAGGCGCTCCAGGGGCAGAAGAGGGGCTCCGATCAGGAGATGCGAGCGCTGGCCGAGGCCGCGAACAGGGCTCGGCGAGGCGAGGTGGAGCGCCTGCAGATGGCACGCCGAGAGCGAGAGCGCTGCCACCAGACCCAATCAGAGCTGGAGGGTGAAGCGCTAGTCCTGGCCCAGCAGGCGCAAGCCTCGGAGGCGATGTGGACGGCGGAGCTGGGCCAACAGGAGGCCCAGGTCGGACAATGCATGATCCTCGAGCGCCAGGCCAGGCTGGCGGTCATGGAGGCGCACCACGCGCAGCAGGAAAGGCGCCTCGTCGAGTTTGGCATGGAGCAGGCCGAAGCCATACAGCAAGGCAAGCGGCGCATCGAGGATGGGGGCCTGGCAAGCATGTGAAGACCAACGCCAGTACTTGGCTGCCGTCGGCCAGGCGGAGCTGGGGGAGCACCGCGCCAGCCGCCGCCACCTCGAGCAGCAGGCAGAGCGAGCGCAGCGCGAGCTCGCAGCGAGTCCAGCTCGACAGCGCGAGGAGGCAATGAGAGCTGCAGGTCCGCCGCGATAAGGGGGCGGCGGAGCTCAACAGCGCCCGCAAGCGGGCCCTTCTGTCGAGTGTGCTGACGGGCGAGACGCTGAAGCTTGATATCCTCGGAGAGACGGCGGCTAAGCTGGCGGGCGATGACGCAGTCATGGGCCGCACCATGCGCTGGCAGCGCAGGAGGAGGACCACCGACAGCGATGAGGTCGAGCATAATTTGATGACCATCCTCCCCACTGCGGAGTTCGCGCGCCCGCGCCAGGACGCAGCGGTCAACGCGTGCGAGCGTGCTGCCTGCTCCTTTGGCGAGAGATCGCTCACCTCGTTGAGGCCTTCGACGACTCCCGACAGCGACTTCAGCCTGCAGGGCCTCGGAGTTGCGCCGACAGAGAGCATTTCGACCCCGCTGCCGAGGGAGGCGCCGCCGCCACCGCCACCAGCAGCTCCACTGCCGCCACAGGGGGCCCATTCTCATAGAGGGCTCGCAGATGTCCCAGTCGGCGACACCGACGACGCCGATCTTCATGGCGAGCGCCCACCACCGCCCACTCCGACGCTCATTGACTTAGCAGAGGTGACCCAGACGATCGACGCCAACGCGCCCGCCCCGACCGAGCCGCAGAATCCATGGGCGACGCCGTCCCCACCCGTGACGCAGCTCCCAACCCCGCTACCCAAATCTACCGTGCAAAATGTCAACAGCACTACGACCAGGATCTGCATCGCCTTAAGCACCGAAAGGCAGGCAGCAACAGTCGCGCCACCAAATGACCCCCATCGCCGACATCACGCCCACTGAGCCCATCGACCCCGAGTGCCCACCGCCCAGGTTCCCCCTGGGGGCTCCAAAGAGGACGCCCTCTGGGCCCCCGCTCAGAAGCTCGATGCGACGGGAGGCAGGATGGGGACGAGCCAGTAGCCAGCCCAGGAAGGTCCGGGTCCGTGAAACGGGCGATGGTTTCGCATACCCTGGCGACAGGCACCCCAAGTTCATCGAGAGCGGCGAGAGCGACGGATTTGACGTCGCTGGCTCACCACAGAAAGCTGAGCACGAGAGCGCCCGCCGAGGGGCAACTGGCTCAGCATGGCGCCTGCTGCCCGACACCAGCGGCACCGCAGGACCACGAACGAACCCTGCTTCTCCGACTCGTGCATAGTTGATGTTACGCATGCGGTTCCCTGTGGCCCGCGGCTCCTGACTGGCCGTCGAAAACAATCAGTCGCGACCAACCGTGTCGCCGCCGCGGACAGAGTCGCCGACGATGTAGGGCCTTGGTGGCCATGCACCAGAGATCAGCGACAGCTCCACTAGGGGGTGCCTCAGACGTTCGCCTACCCACCACCGCCACAACCGCGACAGTCTGCGACGCGCCAGCAACCAAGCCAGCAACCAAAAACCCAAAACCATAAAAAAGAGTACGGTTCACTGACAATGGGGACCCAAGCCCAACTAGCAGCAACGCAGACTCCACCGAGGCATCGAGGCGACTCCCCTCGGGCCTCATCGACGGCTACTGGCCACGACATCAGGGGGGCGACGTTCGCAGGCCAATACCTCCAGCTGCACCGGCCGCCTCGGGGGCGCAAGACCTCGGCGACACAGCTAACCGACGTCTACCTGAGATACTCTCTCAGGAGGACAGTGGCAGTCGCTCTTCATGCGAGTGGCCGACAGGCCGTCTCAACAACCACCGACGATCGCCTCGAAATTGCAATGCCTCTACCCCCTAGCCCGATGCCCACCTGAGCGACTCCCTCAGGACGGCATCGCGCCACCGCAATCCACGCACCACGGTGAGCCAGGCCTCGCTGGCCACAGCGACGAATGCCGACCAGCAGCACGACGCCCACCTGAGATGCCACCTCAGGACGGCACTCGACGCCTGCAGCCCGTGCGGCAGCGTGACCATGGCCTCAGCGGCCTCATCGCATACCGCCATCGATCTCCCAAGGAATAGATCGACAGCCCGCCCCCCGCAGCCGGGCGGGATTCGCGGGATCAGCCCGCTCCCGACAAGGCATCGCCAGGGAGTCGCAACCGACAGGCGACCAGCTATTTTTGCTCGGAGGCGCCCGAGGGATGGGGAACAGCACCCCCGCATGCACGGGCTTCACCAGCAGCAGCTCTCTTTGCAATCTTGGGTAGCGGTGGCGGCGGCGCAAGCGACTTGACCCACCGCGACGACGCGCCCGAGATACCAGGCTGCACCAGTCAGCAGGAATATAATCGACGGTACCAACACTGCCCAACCAGTTCAGCTCAGCACACCCACGACGAGGCACCAGGGCCTCTAGTGTCAGGAGCGCGACGGCATCGAGTACACTTTCCTCGACGGCGAGCAACGGGTGCCCGATCACCAGGCCCCCGCCCTGCTCGACTGCTCCCGCGGCGCCCAGAACGACGCCGAGCAGCGGCAGCGGATAAGGCAGTTCCGCAGGCTCCGAACAACCGCGCGCACCAGCACTACCCCAGTCCAAATCCGAAACCGCTTCAGTCCACTCGCTGAGGACGGCGACCACACCGGACGCCCTGCGCACGAGCCTGACCTCCACCAACAACAGCCACCCAACGACAGCACCAATCATTAACGAGACCCAGTCACGGATTCCCTGGAGAGGCAAGGTACAAAGTTCGAGGCGGGCTCGAAGCGCGGGGGGGCAGGGCGAGGACTGCCCGCGCCCGCCATGGGGGGTGGCGAGGGGCAGGGGGGGGGGGGGGGGGGGGGGGCACCGCCCGCGCCCCCGCGGCCCGCCATAGCTCGCCACCCCCACCATTCACATTGCGGAGGAGGGGCCCACCCGAACGCCGAGGAGGCGGGTCACAGGGCAGTCGCAACCCAGCCCACTACGAGCAACATCAAGCACAAGGCCTGGGGTTTGCCCCCACCGAGGGCACCGTGACCCCGAGCCATAGTGGGGCGAGGTGGGACAGCAGTGACTCCCACTTGAAGCCGGTGCATGGAGGCCTACCGGGTGCTACCCACAGCCACAAACCACCACCACCAGCAGAGCACCTACACCACCATCAACCAACCAACCGACCAAACGAAACAAACATCCATATATCTTCCGACCCAACCAGCACAGCATCACCCCCACCATGCGCCTGACCAACCCAACGCCAGCAGTGTTTTCGACGACCAGCAATGTTGCCTTTCAGACAACCTTGCCGACATCACCACCACCACCACCATTTGCAGCTCGACGCCCCGCAGCAGGAGCGGGAATGTCAGCGGGTGTCGCTGTCCCCCCCTGAGACCAACCAGGCCAGCGATGAGGCCGTTTGGCTGCATCTCCGCGGCGGTCGGGCGGCCCCTGGCCGAAGCCCGGCCAGCTCAGCCGCGACGCGGCAGGCATCAGCCACAAGTTCGGCGCTCGCGGCCGAGGAAAGCATCAGCTCAGCCAACGATCGCGCCCACCAACAAACTCGACAGCACCACCGCATCAGTGATGTAACATCACCAACCACGGCGACCACCCCCACACCAACAAGCGCCATTAGACGGGCCCTATGGGATCGACAGCTCCACCGCCGACAATGGACACGAGCCAGAGCACGTTGCAGCGGAGCAGTTCAGCCGACGACGACAGCGACGGCCACTGCCCGACCAACCGCCTGGAGACTGGGCCCAACCACGGGCCCCCTTCCGACGGCAACGTGGCAGCCGCGCAAGTCCTGGAGCACGCGTCGCCAATAGAGAAGCCGCGTCAGCTTGGGCCGATGCGCCCCCAGCGGGACCGCAGAGTAAAGTGTTACCACCTGCGCCGACGGGAGCTACGACAGCCGCCCAACAACGGCAGCCTGGGCTGCAATTGTCGTCGCCGGGTATTGCGTTGACATGGGCGGAGGCAACTTCGGGTCCAACGGGCACCTTTCAGCCAGAGTGCTCGACGCCACGGACAACATGGTGGACCAGGAGAAGGTCTCGGCCTACCCTGCAAAGGTCACTACAGGACTCTGGTCTGTGCTGTGGGCTGCCTCCCTGCAGGATGCGATCACGGTGGGCATCGCGCCAGACGCGCTCAATGTCATCAAGCTCGCCAAAGGGGAGGCCACCAGCCATGCCCGCGAGAAGCTAGGTACCCCCATGCAGATCATGGCGGATCTAGTCGGGAGTGCGCTGCCATTCACTCGGGCGCGCATCAAGTCGCACATCGTCCACCCATGGAACGGGCTGGCGGATGGAGTGGCCGACCAAGCCGCTGCGGGCCTCAGCACTGAGACGACAACGCCGCGTTGAAGGCAGTCACGGCCAGCGAGCTGCTGACGCGTGAGCGGTTGCGAGACGCTGATGCCAGGCAGGCCGCAGCCTACCCGCCCATTGTCGACGGCCTGTTTGCGTTCCCCGCCGCCCGGCCCAAGGCCAGTTCAGAGGCGGTCCAGCTGCTTCAGCGAGGCGCCCAGATCAAGGCGGAAGTATTCTTGGAGCTGTACACCTACAACTCCAGGTCGTTGCCGGCGAAGGTGGCCATGCAGGAGACCCACGGCAAGGGCAACGGAAGGGCCGCCCGCCGGCCAGCCAGCAGTCACGTTCCAGCAGCCACCATCAACACGATGCTGCACCTGGCAGCCCAGTTCGCCGACATGGGCGTCCACGTGGTCGCCTTCCAGGAGACCAGCTCGGACGGAGAGGTGAAGCGAGTGGGCCAGTGCACCTGCTAATCCTCGGGCTGCCAGGACCTCGGCATGGGCTGCGACATTTGGCTCGACGCGACCCTGCTGTTTCCAGCGCAAGGCCAGCCCCAGACGCTGGGCCCCAAGAAGACGCTACTCCACCAGTCGGACCGCATCTTGGTTCTAAGAACCACAGTCTTGACCGCCGAGATCGCCATCGCATCGGTGCATGCGCCGCACGACGAGGCGGACGGGGCCATGGAGGGCTAGTTCTGGGACCAGTTCTCCCGCCTCACCAGCGGCTGCTCCATCGACGTCGTCATGGGCGACATTAGCGGAAGGATCTGGCGAGGCTACTAGCGACTGGATCGGAAGCGGTGGCTTCCCAGTACCCATGAACGAGACGGGCACTAGGCCGTTCAACTTCACAGCGGTGCACCACCTCGAGATCGTCAACATTACGAAGGACCGAGGCTCGGCAGCGTTCGCGCACATCGCCTCGAAACGCCATCGCCGCCGTCTCGACAACATCATGATCTCGGAGCACCGTGCAAAGTGCGTGCTCGCAGCCACCACCGACCCAGGGTTCGACAAAGGAGTGACCGCAGACGATCACATCCCAGCGCTTGCCACAATGCGATGGCGGATCGGCGACAAGGCGACCAAGGGCGAACCCGCCCCAGACAGCTCCAAGTTTGCCGACCCAGGCGCGAAAGCGCGCTTTCAACAACTACTGGAGTAAGCCTCACCAGTACTTCTATCTGCGACATCAGCGACCACCCCGCCACCAAGGCACGACCACCATCAAAGAAGCAGCCCTAGAAGCCTACGGGCCTGCGACTAAAACGCCACTCAAGCCCTACATGGCGCCGCGCACCATGAGCATCATCCGCATGCGGCGCCCCGCCAACAGGGTCCTCAAGGACCTGAAGCGCGGCCTCATCGCCGACAACCAACCTAGCAGGCTTTGCGCCCGCGCCAAGACCATCACGAATGAGACATTCAGAGAGGTCGCCAACTGCATTGCGACGGAGCTCGACGCCGGCTGTCGCGCCATCTACCGGCTCCAGACACAAGCGGTTCACTTCATCAGTTGGGCCTCCCCGCCGTCAGAAAACGCTGCGCGCCCCTTCATGCTCGCGGCGCCCCCCCCGCTGGCCTGCGCCATCGGGCGCGACCGCTGCGCCTTCCCGTCCGCCTTTGCAGCCGCGGCGAAGGGCGCCCAGGCAAATAATGACGCCCATCGTCAATGGCAGCGGAACCGAGCACTGCTGCGCTTCGGCGGCAAGAAGGCGCGCCACGAGGCGGGCCTTCCATTCCGACTAGGGCCAGACGGCCACATGCTGAGCGCATCCGACGACATCGCCAACCTCGAGATGCAGTATTTCGCCGCCACCCAAGCGGGCAAAGTCATCGCGGCCAAGCAGCTAGCCCACAAGCACAACCAGGACAGCGCAAAGAAGTTCTTCCAGGGCGAGCTGGAAGTCGAGGCGGCGATGCCCTGCGGCGCGCGCCACTACCAGATGCGATCGGCAGCGCAAGGCCCCAAGGGTGGGCCAGACAGCCCTGCTGCGCATAGCGCCCCGCCAGTGCGTAGATATGCTGCGCCCGCTCTTCGTGAAAGCCGCGGTCGCAGTCCGCGATCCACTCGCCTTCAAGGGGGGGAGGTACGGTTGCCGCCCCCAAGGTCAAGGGCGACGAGCGCGCTCTGCAAGCCCACAGGGAGATGATCTGATCTTGAACAACGTGCTTGGCAAGCATCACAGCGAATTCTTGCGGATGATGCTCAACGGCTGCCTCGCCCAAATCCTGGAAGACATCCAGACAGGAGGCCGACGGGCGAGGGGCAGACATGACGGTCCTCGCGACCAGGCGTTTCATGGAGAGGGCCAAGGGGCAGGGGCGCCCCCGCGTCGTGGGCATGCACGACCTCCAGGAGGCATTCTGCAGCGCACTGCCGCAGCTCATCCACCAGATGCTTGGGGAAGAGCACGAACTCGAGGGCGTCCTCAACAGCGTCGAGGTGCCCGCGTGGATCGCGCCGCAGCTGCAGCGGCTCCTCGAAGCTCCTGGGCCCTTCGACAGCACGACGGATTTCTCCCACTTGTCTGCCCTCGACACTGAGGGGCACCGCGATCGATGGGCATCGCATCGGCATAGCACAGCCTTGATGATGCCCAGGAAGGGCAAAAGGACCGGCGTGCCTCTAACAGATGCATGTTTCAACATCTGCTTCTCCAGGGCCCTCAGGGTGCTGACGTCCTTCCTGCGAGAGGCGGGCGTCACCGTCGCGCCGAACCCTATTGGCGAAGCAGTCGAGTGCGACGGCGACGGTGACCGCCACCACGAGCTGCAAGAAGAGCCCACGGCCTCTCGTTTGTCGATGGCCTCACCACCCACCACGTCTTCTCCCACCACAGCCAGGCCGAGCGAGAGATTACCATTATCTGTCAGAGCGTCTACCTGGCCGCCGCCACATAACAGCTTCGCGGGAGTCCATTCACATCGAGGTTCCAGTGGCCAGCAGCGTCGTCGAGATCGTCAGGCACCACCGCCTCCTCGGCACGATGGCCACCGACGCCGGCTCCCCAGGAGTTGACGTCGTCCACACGGTCACCAAGGCAGCAGCAAAGACCATCCCACTACGCCGCGAGGTGTACAAGCGCAAGCAGCTCACGGCCCACGATAAGGCTGCCCTTGCGGACTACGCCATGCTCTCACACTTTGCATACAACTCGGGCACCTGGCCGCCGCTCGGAACCTCCGACGCCCGCAATTTTGAGACCCAGTACGTCGCCAATGACGCTGCCGCCCATGGCATAACATGGAAGCAGAAACGCGACAAGCTGGTGAACAATTGCCAGATCTTAGAGGGGGTCTAGCGGCCCTCAAGCGAGGCCGACCTGACTTTGGAGCAGCCCCGCCGCCTTGCGAGAGTAGTCGACCACGGGCCCATATACCTTCGGAGGTTGCTAGCGGAAGCGCGGGAAGCCCAGGACGGCTGGGCGGAGGCAGTACGACACGACATCTCATGGTTTCGTGAACACACTGACCCTGACGAACTAGGTAGCCAGCACTCCATCGACGACTGGAAGGACTGGGCCCGCACCGACCGAGCGAAGCTCGTCAACCACGTCGAGAAGACGCAACATAGAGCACGACTTGCAGCATATGACGACGACCACCTAGAACGATTGCGGAAGCGGACTGCCGCTTGGACCCACATCTACGCCATCCCAGCATTCAACGGGCAATAGCCACAGCACGCCACGACTTACGCATGCTACGATTGTGGGCACACCGAACCCACCACGCAGCGGCTTAGAGCCCGCATCAGTCGGCACCACACAAACGCCAACCACCCAGCCAAATTGGCACAAGGTGCACTATGTCTGGATTGCGAACGCGACTTCCACACCACCAACCGCATCGTCAAGCACCTCCTGAAGGCCAAGCGCCGCGCCGCCCACATGCGGAGACGGCTGCCGATGCCACTGCCGGACCAGCGCGAGATCGGTCGGTAGGCGGTCCGGCAGCAGTTGCAGCAGAGCCGACAAGCGGGACGGCCCAGCGACTTGGCAGAGCGACCATTCCAACACCTCCAACCACCAGAGCTCGACGGCGACAGCGACCCCTTCGGACGACAACGCCAGCATGGACATCCCGTGCTACAGTGACCCACTCCCCACTGCCACCTGTCGCTCAGGTCCCACGCCCACGACAGGCACCCACCATGTACATTCTACACCTGTTCAGGGGGCTCGCGACGGTTATCGGACATACAGCATCGGTGCGGACAGCAACAACTCGGTATGCGCATTGACACTTGGACGTCGCCAGCGACGCGACCTTCGGCGGCTTACCCAGCTAGACCTCAGTGTTTCAGTGGAGTCAAGTGCTCAAAGACGGGCGGATCGCGGCGGTGTTTCGGAGGGCAGCCGTGCGAAACGCGGTCGCGCGCACGCCTCTGACCACCCAGCCAGTGCAGAGGCAGGCCGCCGCGGCCACTCCGTTCGGGAACCCAACTCTGGGGCTTTCGGCATCTTCGAAGGACAGAAGCAGAACAAGTTAGACGGGCCAGCCGGCCATATTGCACACAGCTCGAGTTCCTTGACGCCTGCGTAGTGCACGATGTTCCCGGGCTTCCAGAGCATCCTGCCGAACAGCGAAACCAGCGCATGCCCAACAGCTGGCGGTTGCCAGAGACCGCCCATCTAGGAGCTCAACCCAACGTCGACACCGTCACGTTCGACCAGTGCACCTGCGGAGCACCCTCTACGGATACCACCAGTCTCCTTGCGGTGGCGTTCCCTGCGCTGCGCGAGCGCTTCCGAAGTCCCCCAGGTGTTGAGTCCACACCGCGCGCTGTCACCTGGATCTTGCAGGCGCGGGCGCTCAGGGAACCTGGAACACACGTGCCGCCAAGGAATGCCCGCCCATGGCGTGCCAAGCGATAGCGGAAACCTTAGCCACCCAAGTGATTCAGAGGTTCGCCGCGAGCTCACCTGACCGACACTTGCACATCGAGCCCGGATGTCTCCACTTTGGCCAGCCCCCCGACCCATGTCGGACACGCCAGATGTGCAGCGGCCACCACCGCACCCACCCTAGACGAACCATCAAGAACCTCGACCTGCACGAGGCTCGAGAATATGCCACATGTGACGCCTGGCATGCACCACCGCCACCGCAGCCACCACCGATCCGACTCAACCAGTAGCCACCTTCCCCCGACCCCCATTCACCATATCTCTGACCGCTCTGCTAGGATCTTGACGGCATGCTCCTTACATCTATCCACGCGGGGTCCTGTTGAATCAGGCCGTGGGGGTTGGAGCGGAAAGCCTGAACTCGCAGCGCGCCCCCTCCTTCGACGCCCCGCGCCACCCACTAGCACCACTAGCAACATCCAACCGACTGGCCAGTCAACGCAGCAACCATCCAACCGACCTACCCGCACATACGAGCCAACGACCAGCACGCACTACGTAACCCGAGCAACCTTCACAACAGCAACACACACCACCACCACCCCAACAAACCAGCATCCGACCGTCGACCGCGGTGGCAGAAACGGAGCTGGCAACCGCGGCACACCAGGCAGTCCAGAGCACATCCCTGGACACCTGCGTACCTACCACGGCGCAACAGACTGACACACAGCATGCCAGCATGATACCCACTCACCACTCCATACCTCCCACAAGCATCCCACGCCTACGCCAGCAAATATGGACGGCCACGACAAACAAACATCCCCACACCACCAG